TTTTTTAAGAATTTGACAAAAGATGACATACTTTTAATAAAGTTAGAGGAGTCAAATATCACCTCGTAATGGGAAGGCTACTTTTTGATAACATTTTGGATAATTGTTTAGAAGGTGCTCCTAAAATTTTGAACGTGCTCCTAAATTTTTTAAGTTAGGAGCACAAGTGCTCCTAAAAAGAAAAGTAAGCGTAGAGCCCTGCTGCAGCGTTCTGGCAAAGTTGTGACATGTCCTTCAAACTTTGTTCTTCCTGCTCGGGACCTCTACAGCTCCCTGATGATCATGACAGGTAAAGTCCACCATTTAGGAGCCCAACTACCCTTACTGCGACACCAAGAGTGTCAGGACACTCCGTAGGAGGATAGGTCTCGGACTCAGTGACGCATCTACTCCCCATTTGCCATCCTTTTCCTCTGCCACTCCTCCGGAGTCGCAAAGTAAGAAGCAACGGCCACTGGTTGCAGAAACCAACGCTGCTGTCAGTGAGCTCACGCTGGCGCAACGCCCGCGTGCCCCCTGCTCTCCAGATCAACTCTCTCTGGTGGATTTCTTGGCATCCCTGAGAAAGACTGTGACGATGCCATGCCCACCGTGGGGTCAGATTTGGAAGATTGGTCAGCCAGCCACATGGAGGATTCCAACTCCCATCACAGCGAGATCTACAAACCTAGTCACACAGATCAGGATCTGCTGCGTATCATATCTAAGGCGGTGGAGGAGCTCAACCTGGAATGGTTCACTTCCTCTGAACCAGAATGGAATAGACTGGATGAGCGGTTTCTTCAGCCCAGTCGATGCCGTGAGGCCGGCCCACAAAGGCTCTTGCCCAGATCTCCGGCTCTGCACTTCTGACAATGGTGGATGGCATCGATCTACGCGGCTATTTAAAACTCCTGCCGATTGAGGAGGCCATCGCTGCGCATCTTTGTTCCTCCGCGCTGCTGAGGGTAAAATCTGCAGCCGTACACCCCAACAAGCCCTGCCACACCACCGCTAATATCGCTGGGAAAGCGTACGTGGCAGCGGACCAGGCAGCGTCAGCCCTCCACTCAATAGCTTCCAGGCAAAGATGTTAAAGGGGGGGGCGGTCTAATGCTATTTCATGCATTCTGAGTTATTTACACTATTAAAGAGTTGGATTCTTCTGCTAAACATGGCCAAAGTTTCAACAAACGATTTGGACATATGACAGAGTATTTCTGTGCCAAATACACTCCTTCCGGGTTCGAAAAAGTTTTGGAAAGTTTTTTTTCGAGCATGGCTCTTCATAACGTCACGAAGAGCGGAATTTCTTGTATGGCACTTCTCCAGGAAGAGCGCGCGCACACAGCAAATAGAGTGAGAGCAAGAGCGAGAGCTCATCAACTTGCTTCATTCGGGTTACGGAAGTTGTCGGCGGCGCTACACAGGACTTGCTCGAGAAGAAGTGTCTCCAAAGAAGTGTGTTTTTGGTAAGGGAAAGATAACCTTGTTCAGCTTCCCAAAGAACCCAGCATTAAGGGAACAGTGGATGCTGTTTGTTTTTCTGGGAAAGCAATGGAGTTTCGCACGTGTGTTTGTTTTCGTCATTTCGGTGATGAATGTTTTATAAACAAGGCCCAGTTCGACGCTGGATTTGCAGATCGTTTCATACGTCTGAAATACAGAGCGGTCCCAGTGATAAAATATCCTGGTCATGAGCTGGAATTGCAGGCGGCGAGTAAAACTGCTTCAAATTTCTGTGTTTTGTTGGCAATCAGTGCGTAAGTGCTCGTGACTCTTTAGCTCCGCCCACGGCACGCCTCCAGGAGCTCGGCTATTTTCTGAGAGAATCGTAAAGCTGCATCTGTCTTTTGTAAATCTGATAAAACTAAAGAATCTTCAGAGATATGAAGGATGCAATACTACTATATAGGCACTCAAGATTAACATGAGATTGGTGAAAATGTGTGTGTTATGTCCCCCTTTAAAAAGAGACAAGGCCCGAATCCTGAAATCTTTAGAGAGCTTCGCAGCGCCACTGATCTCACACTGTGAGCCACTAAGATGACAGCGCAGTCTATTGGCCGTGCCATGGGTAACATGGTTGTGCTGGACCGGCACCTATGGCTAACGCTGATGGACATGAGGGATGTAGAGAAGGCAGTCCTTTCGAACACCCCTATCAGTCCCTCTGGGCTTTTTGGCAGCTCGGTTGAATCCCTCACAGAGCAATTCTCTGAAGCACAAAAGCAATCAAGGGTGAAAAAGCACTTAATGCTGAAACGCACAAGTCAGCCTACTCCTGCTCCTCATCCGCTCAGCGCTATTTCTCTAGACTGCGAGCTGATACAGCTCCAAAGCCCTGCCTGCATCCAGAGCCTTCGGTGCGTCCCAAGGACTCATGGCTTAGAATCGGCTACAAGCTTCAGTTTGCACGCAGTGGTAACGCCGGAAGTTCAAGCCTCAAATGCTCCAGTTTTAAGAGCAGAAATTTACAATCTCATAGCCAAAGAAGCTGTGAAGATTGTGCCTCCCGAAGAACGAGAGACCATTTTTTACAGCCGCTATTGTTTAGTTCCAAAAAAGGATGGCAATCTTTACCCTATTCTAGATTTACGTCGTTTGAATCACACTCTAGCGAAACGTTCATTCAAAATGATTTCACTAAA